TCGAAGTTGGAATCAGCTCAAACTTTCTACACAGCATAAGGACATCAATATGTATCAGAAAATGTAATAAAAATTTGGGGTGATTTCGGAGTCATTTTTCGGAAAAACCATAGGCTATAGCCTTGGGTATTTTCAGATTTTGGCCGTTTTTTAAAAATGGCTGTGTCTTGAAAAATCAAAGTCGCAATTAGCCCAAACTTTCTATGCAACATAAGGACATCAATATGTATCAGAAAATGTAATAAAAATTCAGGGTGATTTCGGAGCCATTTTTCGGAAAAAACCATGGGCTATAGCCTTGGGTACTTTTCAGATTTTGGCCGTTTTTTTCAAAAGGGCTGTATCTTGAAAAATCAAAGTCAGAATTACCTCAAACTTTCTACACAGCATAAGTACATCAATATGTATTAGAAAATGTAATAAAAATTTGGGGTGATTTTAGAGCCATTTTTCAGAAAAAACCATGGGCTATAGCCTTGGGTAATTTTCAAAAATCGGCCATTTTAAAAACCAGTCATAACTTGAAAAATCGACATCAAATTCAGCTCAAACTTTCTACATAGTATAAGGACATCAATATGTATCAGAAAATGTAATAGAAATTTGGTGTGATTTCGGAGCCATTTCCAAAAAAACCATGGGCTATAGCCTTGAGTACTTTTCAGATTTTGGCCATTTAAAAAAATGGCCGTAACTTGAAAAATTAAAGTTGGAATCAGCTCAAACTTTCTACACAGCATAAGGACATCAATATGTATCAGAAAATGTAATAAAGACAATACATGTATTTCCTCTTACCCTCCATACATATTCCGTGTCCATTACAATCAGTCAGTGAACAGTTAACAGATCCACAAGTATCTCCAGTCCATGGTGACTCACATGAACACGCCCCCATGTCACATGACCCGTGGTTATTACAATCAGGTTCAAGACACTGTACATCATGGACACATATCACTGTTGATACCTTCCCTGGCACACCTGTACTGTGATTCATGATCACTGTAACAGGAATAAAACCAG